CAGCTGAAAATGAGGGCTTGTCCTCTGTTAGTGGCTAGGCCTGAAGATGTTAAACAGCACCAACCCTCAGCATTGAGCCCACTGGCAACCCCAAAACCAATTTTTAGCCAGGTGCCAGGGGTCCGGCCACAGACACCTGCACCCTGGGCATTGACCAGGCCCCTCAGCTCTCCACCCGCTGTGCCGTGAACCTGTCCCCTCTCACCTCCTCAGTTTGGCTCCACTGCCTCTATGGGAAACAGAGAAATCATTGTGGCAGGGTCTGCTGGTGTCTAACCACAAAGGATTTCTGTAAAATGCCTGATAATCCCCCTAAACAGAGGGGCAAGGCAGGCAGGCAAATGAGAATACAACGAAGCTTTCCAGAAGAATGTCCTTCAACCCTGGATTAAGAGGATTATACCACTTAGCACAGCACATTTGTAACTCCTCGGATCCAAGTTTTCTGCAGATAAGTTGAGAATTTAAATTCCCCAGAGGAAAGCTACTCGGTTCTTGCACAAAGTAACACAGCAGTCAACTTACATGCTTCTTTGCACTTCTGTGCAATGTAGCCTCAGAGTAACATAAAGAAATGTTCCCTCAAGGACATAGCAAACTAAAGGAAGGTTATCCTGATCCCACACTTACTGACACTACTTGTCTGATTCCGTGTGCTTCCTTCTCGCCATAGCCAGCTGCCCCTCCTCGAGACCATATCATGATGGTTAACAGTGCAAACTCCTTTTGCACAGGTGCAAATGATTACCTAAGATGCAAACCGGCAGAGAAGCAAGACGACAGAGCAAATACCCCAGGTGCCATGGTCACGCTGCAACAGGACTAGGTTTATGAAAAGATACCTTACAGGACTGCTGTCACACAGTGTAGCTTTGGGGCATGTCTAACAAAACTTTATCTCAGATCACCTACCTTTATGGCATCCTCTATTTTAAATTATTTTTCATTATTCCCCCAAAACACTGAAATTGAATTAATACCACCCGGAGTAAATTGCCATTGAAACACCCAGCAAATACCTGCTGGTACTGCACAAGGTTTCTTACAGAGAGCAAGTACTCCCACTAACTTGTCTGGTATTGCATGAAAGCAATGCTAAAAGCACTGCTACATTTCCCACCGAAATGCTCCCATTTTCCATTTGTAAATACGACTGGAATCATATTTTAATTTTTCTCTGCAGCCAGAAAAGCACACTAGAAACACCTTGAAAAATAGCAAAGCCTTGATTTTGCAAACAAACAGATGAATCCCCAAGTACAAAAACACCCATGATGGTAACAAACTCTCAGAATAAAGGAAAACTCTGCGAATTCGTTCTGCAGAACCTTGCTTTACGGACAGTACGTACTTTGGTGCAATCTGGTAAAGCGACCAGGACAGAGTCAGTAGGATTTGCCCCAACATATCCCCACTTGTCCCATGATTAAACGTAGCAACAGAGAACCAAAAGAAACTTTCTGAGTCATGCCATAGTCGCACAGGCTCCCACACATCATTTAATCCTATCACCATTTTGTTGAGCTTCATCTTATACCTACTTAGGTTGACTGCACCACTGTTAGCATATCTTAAACATTTCAAAAACAATTTTAAAGAGCAGATATTTCCTATGTAAATCCTGAAAAAAAAACAACCACCTTCACTTAGTGACTGGCAGCATAATGCACTGAAACATGTTAATGCTCCTTAATTCAGGGGAGCAACAGAGCTGCTAAGAACACACACTTGCAGGAAAGTCAGCCACTCGTATCTTATCAAAAACATTAATAATGATACTTTTTCCTCTCGTAATATTTGTTTGCTAGGAGGTAAGCAGTTACTTCACTGAGAAATCACTAAAAAAAAAAGTTATTTCATCGCCTCTTCAGCAGGGCGAGCACCTGGAGGAGCTGTTACGTGGCGCTCCTGACCCAGGGCAATCCACGCACCCCAAGCCAGGTCCATAAGGCACCATCCATTGTTTCTGCTCTGAAGCTATAGAGCACAGAGGCCACCACTGAAGCCATCTAAGCAGCACTTTTCCAAGATCTAAATTATCGGGTAAGCCACCCATGACGTGCTTCCTTACCGCACAGATTCTTATCTAACCAACTAGGGTTGGCCCCAGAGCACAGCAGCACGTCAGCTCACCCAGGAGACCCCAGCACAGCAGGCAGTCCCTGGTACACTGGCTAAGATAAAAGCTACTTGGAGCCTGGTCTCTAACCAAGGCACGTGGAAGCACACAGCTTGTCTGGATTGCCATGCTGATTAGCTACATACTGATAGCCAGCTGCTCCAGCACGCCTCACGTCCGGGTGAGACAGCGAAGGGCATCCCAACCAAAGGGACCGGGCAAACCCTCATTCAGGTGTGAGGGTCTGGGGGAGATGCAGAAGATGAATTTGTGCACAGGCAGAAAAACCCAAGCAGGAAATACATGCAGGGAGGTTTTATACAGTGTGGCAAGAAAGCCAAATTATTCTCTTCTGAGAGCACCTCCTTTGTTGCAGTTTAACGAACCACCTCAGGTAGCTTTAAGATGTACTTAGTGCGTGGATACCTTCACAGACCAAAATCTGCAAACACAAATGCTTAATTGGATTGCTAAATAATTAGCCTGATTTGTATTCACAGTGAAATTTGAACAGTATCTGCTTTCAAGCTAGGCTCCACATCTAGACATTCATATATTTTCAAAGTCTTCTTTCAACTCATTCTAGGTTGATTGACTCACACAGGGGCTCAGCTGTACGATTTGAGACCAAAGATGAATTTTGGCACCAAATTTCAGAGTTCAAACCAGCGACTTCAGTGCAGCTCCCTAGAAGAACTGGGATCTCCATGGGGGCAGCAGATGCTCACACTGCATGTAACTTACATAAATACGCTACTTATGAAAAAAAGCAAGAGACAATTTGACTAAGAAGTTCCTACAGGTACTTAAGTTGATTTCAGAAGATCATAGAAAAGTTGTTAAATCATCCTCAGAGACTCAGTGACTGACAGTGACCTATATCACTGACCCCAGGCCTGAATCTTTAATTGACGTGCTCAGACGCAGGAAGAGCTTACAGCATTTAGTGCCAATTCCACTGTTGGAAGAGTTCAGTATATTTCAGTAGGATTTCCAAAACATTACTTCAATTATTTTGCTACTAAGCAGGTTGTCCTCTTCTAAACTTAGCAACCCAGAAAGATATTATTTTAATAATCTTATCTCCACTGAAATAAAGGATTAATTTTAATTCTGTTGATAAAAGTAAATTGCTGAAAAGGTAATAAAAGAGAAAAAATAGATAAATAATACATAGTTTTCAGCAGAAGAACTGAACCACTGTAAAGAGTATAACCTTAAGCACTACTGACAAAAGAGCAAGAGGAACACCTACCACAGATTTGGGTTTGCTGACTGCCACCAGATTGGCTAGAAAGTCTTCATCACACAGCTGGCTAAAAACATGGGCATCGTAAGCCACCATTATGGAGATCTCTTCCATCATTTTGCCGGCAAGCTGCCGTTAGCAGCGAGAGCAGGTTCACGATCCGAGCCTGAACCTTGGCTCAGTTCTTTGTCAGTTGTTCACACCCACCTGAAGAAGCTAACGAGGAAGGAGTGTCACAAGAGAAAATATGACCTAGCAAACCAGCTCCCACACAGGCTTCCCTCTCGAGGGTGCCTTTTATTATTACAGGAAGCATATATGAAACACCTGCTCATATTCTCAACAGCCCACTTGCAAAAGCATCTCCTGAAGTTTGAAAAAATCCCAGCAAGTAGTTTAAGTTCCAGTATTAGGCTGCAGGTGAAAAAGCAGTAACCAAACCAGATCAGATTTAATCAAGAAATGATCCACCAGCACTTGGCAGCAGAACTGGAATCCCTTCTGTTGTTCTCAAACTTGGTAACGATAGTTTTTTCTTTATACCTAGCTTTCCTCCAGAGAAAGCTGATATTCTTGTTCAGCAGAGGTTTGCTTCCCAGGGAGTTAGTTCTTTGGGCTTGTTTGTAAGTTCACAGAGAACGGTGTTATGATGATTTCTTTCAAACGTTCCCTGGAGATTTCCATGAGTTTCTAAATCTCTCCTTTGAAACTCTGAAGAAACATTCACCTTCTCTTGTAGGCAGAGCTGAACTGTGTTTTGTGCCACTTGGTTCCTTGCTCTTCGCAGGAAGATGATGGTCTCAAGTCACAACCCCCCCACAAAAGAGTCCTTCAGTTTCCATTCATAACACAGTAAAACAGTCGTGCAAAGCGCAAATGAAATATGTAAAATCTTCCTTGAATCAGCTTGAACCTCCACAATTGAAATAAAACCAATTTATCCAATTGAAAATATTCACAGCAGAAGGTTTTTAACCTGAATCCAGGACTGCTTTGCTTTCAGTTAAGCAATATGCTATCTTGTCTCAGAGCCCTAAGCAGCAAAGTTGTCTTTCAAATTACTTCTGACTTGCCAGTTCACTTATCGTAACATCTGACACAGAGAAAAAGCTAATGTGAGGAAAAAAATGTGGAAAAAAAAATAAAAATCAATATTCTCAAAGCTATAAATGAAAATCTAGAAAATAATAAATAGTTTGGAAAGCAAAACAAAACAAACACACATCCCCAGAAGAAACTCTTCTCAGGATACTTTGGCAAGGTAAAACTTCTAACTAAGCCAGCACTTTTGCTTAGATTCCTCTGCTACATTCTCCTCTCTGTAAGCCTTTTGTTCTTCCTGGAAAAAAATATATATATAAAAATTGTACCTGCTCGAGAAGCATAAATCACTTCAGATGTGCATTTGTCCCAAAAAAAGAGTATGTGCTGGGTGCTGCAAACCTGGTAGAAGTATCCAGTTCAACTTGCCAGTAGCAGATGTTTAGGCTCTTGCTTTCCAGAGCGAGCAGGGCAAGATGCACCTCACTGCTCTCTTTTTCCTGTGCTCTTGAAGTATCCTTGTCAAAGATTACATGGATGTCTAAGTAGAACCAGGTGCTATTTGCATTTGAATAGGAAATTTGAGCAACAGCTGTAGCGTTCAGGATTAAAAACCCAACATGTATTTCACTTAAATAGGGGGAGAAATTACATGTTATTGCTAGGAAACAGAGAGAATTCTAATAGGCTTATAGCAAACAAAAATGCAGTACTTGAGGTTAAATCCTGGAGTCTAAAGCAGCTTCTGATCATGCTTAACCCTTGCAGGATGAAGAAAGGTATTTTTTCCTTGAAATGCCTCTATAATTTTTTTAAAAAAATCTTTATCCTTCTTCAAAGGCTTACAGAGTTTTTCCAATTATTTCCCGCAGCAGGGACACTTCAGATTCAGATCCTGAAGCAACATCCAGCTCAGAGGTTTGCTCTTTGTGTCACCTATAAAAAAAAATCATACCTGATATGCTAAAATCTGCTCATGTTTTCAGAAGTACTTTAAATGACCGCTTCCTCTGGCTTCATCACCTTGTGTGTTTTTTTTTCTTTTCTGTTTTTGTAGGAGAAGTTAAAAGCGTAATGCTCCAAGGCGCTGCTCCTCGGCTCGCCCGGGCAGGAGCACGGGTGCCTACGCGGCACGCTGACAAAGGCACCTGTTGTGAGAGGTAAAGAAAATAACTTCCCACAGTGCCCCCGCCTCGCTGGCAATCGCTCAGAGGCTCTGAGCACGGCCTGAGATTACATTTGAATAGTCATGTATGCACAGGGGAGAGAGCGCGCAGTGTAACAACAAACACTGCCATGTTAATGAGGGACCAATTTAATTCTGCAATAAGGGCAGGAGGTGGGGAATGCAAATTATCAGACGTGCTCAGCAGCTGCAGCTACTCGGATCCCTCTGCTGATTTAGAGAACAGGCATTTTTATTTGTAAGGAATTAAGGGCCTGAATCTCTATTTCCTTTTTTCACCTTCAACAGAAGGGGTTTGATGACTTAACAGAGCTTGATCTACAGGCTTCTAATGTACCATTGCCTGAGTAATTCTCACATATCTCCTTAACAGAGGGCTGACAATTTTGGCATGTTCTAACTAGCAATCACAGGAACTAACAACTGATTTTGGATGTTGGCTAATGCGTATCTTCACTTTAAAAAGGATGTTTTTCAGCTGTTATTTCAAGCTAGGATGGCTGAGCTGCCTCCAGATCTCTGTGAACCTGCAGTTTGCATTCACGTTAACAGTCTGTGCTGCATTCAACATGAAACAGAGCACAAAATTTTAATAAGTATTTCAATACGGTTAGACTAAAACTTGTGAGCTAAACTGGTGGAAGCAGCAAACACTGGAAAGGAAAAGGCAGCAAGCATGGAGATACCCGTGACTACCTCCCCAGGCCACACCATGCATTCTTGCCAGAATTTCAATACAGTCACCCCCACCCCCCCAAATATTTCGGACTACTGAACTGATGAATAATCTGTCAAAAAACTACAAAAACCACATAGTGCAGCTTTGAATCAAATAACACTTCTCTGTGTAACACCAGCTCTACCTTGCAGCTGCCTTCCCCAAGGAGCAGGAGCACAGTCCCTCACGCGACATATTTTGAAAGCATACCTCCAAAGCAGCAATTTTTGGAGAAACGGTTCACCTGAGCAGTCAAGATGACGGAGGAGAGCTCACAGAAGGACAGGTAAGCTGCAGATAACCTTTAACTAATTAAGGTAAGTAGCCCTAATTACATTTGTTGGGATTTCTGTGCTGGTGGATAACAGAGGTGAATGGAAAATTCCTGAATTGAGCAAACCAGCTAGCTTAGCAAAGCAAAACCTGCTCACTCCCAAGATAAATTCACTCTCACTCCACCCCCAGGAATGTCTTACTGCTAGCTGACAGGGACGGGATCTTCTGATAGACGGGAAAGCGTTACTTAGGTGAGGTATGTGCCGTTTCTGGCTAAGCACTCATTACTGCCGCTGTGCTTCTGAAATGTCACTTGCTGCCATTTGCTTTTCTTGTATTAATGACGCTGGGAAGTTTACAGCAGCCTTCAGATAAGGAAACATAACACTCCTTTCATAGCACTTGAAATGGCATTTGGCAGCATTCAGGGTAAGCTTACAGGGTGTTTTTTTTCACCCAAATGAGAATGAAAAATGATAGTATCAAGCTCTCTTGGTACCTCCCTTACCCAGCAGTGACCAGTATCAACTGTTTCCAACACAACCAGCAGTGAAAGAGACTTCATACAGAGTCAAACACTGTGAATCCCAAAATGAAGCCACCTTCTCTCCTCACCCAAGGAGGGCCAGCTGACCATCGGAGCACAGCGAACACCGCAGCTTTTCAGCCCGCATGGAAGTTACCTGTGGTCCCACCTGAAGCCCCCTTGTCGCAGCTGATCAAGCACGGGTCGCGTTGCTGCCCCCGACAAGTCTCTGCTGCGCCCATCTAGCAGCCAGATGAAACCTCTGTGTTGGGACACAAGGTGGGGAGCAGCTGCCTGCCCTCCACAAGGGTGGCAATCCCCCGGATTAAGCAGCAAATCCCCTACTATTGTGCTGTGTAGCCCTCAGGAATGCTACAATTTTATTCATAACTCTGTTCTGGTTTTAGACATCAGGAATATCTCTAGGGGTGCTTTTGGATTCAAAGTGAGCTCTGAATACTAAGCCATTGCTCACGGAGAATGCTCTATGCCAATTGATAAAAGCAGCCAGCAGGTTCAGGCTGATCAGGCTGGTTCAGCAATCGCATCTCCAAGTTTTATTTTTATTATTTAAAATGTCAAATAGCATGGCCTATTTTTTTTCCCAAGTAAGTGGGTGTGTGCACCTGTGTTTCTCCTAAAATAATCCTCCCAACGTGTGGAAAAATCTGGGCTCGACGTGCTTTAGCACATGTACTTCCACGGGTAAACCCGCAGCATTCGCAGCCATGCCACATTCTTAGGATACGAAAGCGGGTAGAACTGTAACCTCATTTTCACAGCTGAAAGCTGGCTGGAAGGAGTGAATATCCTCCCTCCAGCGGTGGCAGAGGTCAGCGGGGCTGCAATTGCTGAGGCAGGTGCTTTTCCACCCAGCCGGTGACACTGTTGTGCTCTCCCCCTCCATGTAAACGTGTGGCCTGCTGCACACGTAGGAAAAGGGGCAAGGCCTTTGGTTCTTCCATTATGTTGCCAGCTCTGCCTTTTGCATTATCAGCTGGAGCACAGATAATAAAGGATGCTGGTACCAGCTCCCTCGTCTGCTTCAGTTGTACAGGAAAGCAAACTCACTGTAAAAGAGGCAGGGACCTTTACAAAATTAGGATTGAAGTGAACGTAGCAGAAAATGCTCGGGTACCCTCCTTCCAGCCTTTCCCAGTCACCTGTGTGCCCAACTAAATGCTCATCCTGCACCCTCCACATCTGCCGCGTAGGAATTGCCTTCCCCGCAGCGCCTAACTTATCCTCAAGGCTCGGGAAAAAAGTCCTCAAACCATCAAAATCACAACAGGCAGAACAAGCCAGCTGACAGCCCCACAAGCTTCTGAAGGTCACTCCCTGTACTTTTAAAAGCATATTCTCAATTAATTTTGCTCTGTGTATTGGCTCCATTTCTCAGAGCCTGTTCTTAATGCCTGCAATTTTAAAGGGCTTGTGTCAAGTCTGCATTTCAAGTTTGACATTTACATGAAACTACAGCTCGAACTACAGCTAAACAAGGGTGTGAAGCTGGCTAAAACAAACCCACCCATCTGATTTCTAAAAATTATATGAACTTGAAAAAGATTAAAAAGCAGCATAACTGGATGCCAGACTACAGGTACATACTCGCTATTAGTCAGCTCAGTCCATGACAGAATATTCTGCAGCCTTTTAAATTAACTTACGACTCTCTTTTTAATTTTAATTAAATTCACATTTTTAATTTCTGTTTCCATATTTCTTTTCCATGCTGCCACTGTCACTTTTTAAGGGCACCAGCAGTGATTTCCTCTCTTCAGCTAAGTTTTCCTCAGATGCCAGCTATCTGGAAAAACCACCTCTCTTCCTGAACTTCTTTCTCATCTGCCAAAAGCTTGTATGGGAGTTGGGGTGACTTTTGGCTTGTGTTTTTCAGAGGCAAAGCCAGCACAGGGCTCTCACCTGGCCTAATTCCTGCCGTGGTTTATTGTGTGGCCCCACAAAGAGCTGCGGTGTCATGGGAGGTGAAGGCAGCGGGGCGCAGCACATGGAAGGCACCAGACATCCCTGAGCAGCTTTTGCTACCAAGTAAAAGTCACGCTGAAGCTTACTGTAAGCTTTCTGGAAGTCTTTGGCTTTTGAGAAAATGGATTTTACCTCATACCCAGGGCATGCATTGAATGTAGAACCCAATACAACATAGTGAAGCTTACAACAGATGAGCATTACTCTTTCCTAGCCATCCATTTATATTAGGAAAATAGGTGATTTTTTTTATTTTTTTTTTCCTGTTTGCAGAGGCAAGAGATGCTCCTAATGAGCTTCACGACACACAAACAGCCACTCTGATCCTAAGGCACTCCCAGTGGGGTCACACTGGTTTGCATCACAGATTTCCACACAGAAACCATTCAGAAGACAGAAATTCCTAACCCGACTTAGGGCATAATTTCCCCCGAGGCAGCACACTTCTGCCACTTGTTTTGTGTTTTGCCCCGTCTCTTTGGGGAATTATTTTTTACCTCCTCCCAGCTCAGTGGCAGTGGGCACCCACAACATACACAGGGAGGGAAGCTGGAGCAGGGCAGGAGTAGGGGAAGTCCCAGGGAACCTCAGACGTGCTCCAGGCCATGGCCAGCATCTCCTGAATCTGTGCCCTCAGGGCCAAATAAATGCAAACAGGTCCCTCCAGCTGCTGAAGGGACAAAGATAAATAATCTGATAAACGTCTCTTGTACATCTTCTCTGGGGCTATTAATCCAAGAACTGAATAATGGTTTGTATGACATTTTGACCGGGCAAATGCCATTAAGAACTAAGTTCTGTAATAAAGTGATCCCACACAGGAAATTTTATGTTAAAATTGTTGAATTTATCGCTACAACTAGTATTTAAAAGAAAAAAAAATGGGATCAAGTATTTTTCATGAAAATTAGCATAAGAGTTGTAGTAGGAGTGCTTTGCACTTAACATTACTTACTGGCTTTCTGGACATATTTCAGTGTGGCCTGATTCTGGGATTTCACCCAAACAGCAGGCAGGCTAGTGCAAGCAGAGCCAATTTCATCAAGCAAAAAAATCATCTGGGTAAAAGAACCAGTTTTTCATACAGGCAATAATCATACAATAAGTATAGATTTGTACTGCTATCCTCATCCATGGTCAACTGGCTTTTCATTTCAAGTAAATGATTGACATTAATTAATGTCTCGTAGCACACTGAGAAGTCATGTTCGTCATGCAAAGAGACTCAAGGCTGAACCCCACTCCTGACTTTCTTTCTCCAGGTAGATACATACCCACAAATTTATCTTTACCTCCCTAAACAGGGATTAACAGTCATTATCTACCTCCTGGTGGAAGATTAATAATGGCAAAATCCAGGAAAAGTGCAAAACTATAGGTTATACTATCACTATTCTTATTATTCTTGTTAGTAATTTGTCTGTCAAGTTTTCTCCAGAGTGCCCTGCCTGATGTGCCCTGTATTACACAGTGATTTAGTATATTTAGTTACTGTAACTTTGCACCTGCCCTTTAGCCTGGGACAAGAAAAAAGGAGAACAAACAAAAGACTGAGGAGCCAGGCACTATGAAAAATTCTTGTAGTCCAAATAATAATAATAATAATAATAATAATAATAATAATAATAATAATAATAAATAAATAAAAAAGCAGGACCACAGTGCACCCTCTGTCCATCACAACACGAGCTGGCTGGCACAAAACCACTATAGCCCACCCTGCTCTGCAGTGGTTAGGCAGGGGCTGTGCTGGTACCTCTGTCTGAAGCCCCACATAAAATCCCATGGCGAAGCCCCAGAAAGGTTTGTGGCCATCTTCTACCGGGAGCCCTGATGAAAGCTGAATGGGAAAGGTGAGACATTTTGATGTGTACCTAGCACAATAGTAATGGTATGTCCCCCAAACAAAAAATAAATCAGGACTATGATTGCTTAGAAGATGAGATAAAGAGTAATTAAGGCTGAAATTATGTGGATGAGCAGGATATGGCACATGGTGTCAACCACACCGGATTAAACCAGACAGACTAGTCCGAGTATCTTGGTGGTTGAGGTTTAGAAGTCAGACAGCTTGACTGTGAGAGGCAGTCTAGACTGAGGAATGCTTGTAGACTCTGAAATGGGATCATTTCATGCATTATACATTAAAAGTATAAACTACTGCTGCTTTCCAGGAGAGCAGTGTGTCCCACTATGATGGAGTTAAAGATGAAAATATTAGCTTGGAGGTCAAAGGATGAAATGTAGCCAAAAAAAGTACAGAAAACCATACTTGCTAGTACATATTCATACTGAAGGTGAGTAAGAGGGGTCAGATATAGAAAGCATTTGACATGAGATCTGTTTGCTGGGAAAGAAGTCTCAGTGGAGACTCAGTGGAGTCTCCAGAGGAGAAGATGGAGGGATTTGTACAGGTCACATCCAGAGGAGGGAAGCAGCTCTGGACTGTGCAAACTTATCAGCCATAGAAGATATCTGCACCATCCACTAATCTAAGCCTGGCATTATCCTTTGCTGCTAAATCCTTATTCATCATCACTTAGTACAGTGAAAGGGAAATTCTGTTCTCAGAAGATGATTTGGGAGACAAACTATTTCAGTGCTTAACTGTGCTGATCTAGTCTCCTACTGTGAAAATCTGCATCTGTGTTTAATGCCTCAAAATACCACAATGGGAAAAGCTTCTGTATTTATATATGATTTAAAGATTAACTTGTCTCAATTTGACTGTTAATAAGCTTATTCGAAGAGCTCAAATGGTATGTGTGGAGGGGGGAGAGAAGGCAGATTCTTACACACTTTACTGGAACAGCTCTCTGCATGATAATGAAGTATTTCAGCCAGCAGAGAACCTGAAATATTTCAACACACCCTTCTTCCCTCCTCATTTGTCTTATTCCAAGTTTATTTTTTATTTAAACTTTGAACTACAGCTCTGGTATTATTGCTATTATTAAACCTCCACAACTAAAAGAAATGAGACAATCCCTTAAAAAAATAAAGACAAGAATTGGTCCAGCTTAGCACAGATGTCTGCAGGGCAAGGGAACATTTTCTCCTTGTACCCCTGTGTGAAGGCTGCACACAACGTACTGCTTAAGCTGATGTTGGCATTTCTGCCATGAGCTCGAGGGCTGCGCTCTCTTGGAAGCTTGCTCAGTGTTGCTGTTGACTCCCCTCAATGTCCAAAAAAAAAAGAGCTATATTTAGAGAGAAAATTGAACCACAGCTTTTAACCTGTTCTTGATTTTCAACGTGCCTTGTATACAGGGGAGGTGTTTAAGCGTAATTCCTTCTGCAAGGAATGCAAGGGAAGTACATGGAGTACGTGAGAGGTAATTTCTGCTTGATT